TGCCCCTGAGCAGTGGTCCATATGTTGCTCCTACTCAAAACAAACTCGTAAAGCTAGAGAAGTCTACCTAGAATTGTTCTTCCTGGACTGCTTGATGCAAGCCTCCTTGACACCAAAAGGAAAGATGCAGCTAAACCTCAGTCTTCCCATAGTTTCTCTCCAGGGGCACCCAGAGAGCTGAGATTCCACCCCAGGCTCTTGGGCTACATAAAACAGGGCCACTGGTTCTTCGTATGCCTTTCTCCATTTGATTAAAGAGCCCTTTAATACCCGATATTTTCTCCCAATGAAGATCCATGTACACTGTCATCAAGTCACCTCAGTTCTCCTTTTGGAGAAGTGAATTAGATTGAGCTCTTTAAGGCTGTCACTGTAAGGCATTTTCTCCATCCCTCAGATCAGTTTTATGGCTCTTCTCTGCACTCTCCTGTTTTTCAACCTCCTTTTTAAAAGGTGGGCACCAGAACTGGATGGAGTATTCCAGCCTGGGTCTCACTCATGCCATAAAGAGAGGGGAAATCACCTCACTGCTGCTACCATATACTACTCCCCTGAGGATTGCATTAGCGCTTTTTTTTATATCATCACATTGGAGCTCATGTTGTGTTGCTTGTCCACTGTGGCTCCTAAATCCTTTTCAGAGTCATTGCTTTCCAGGGTACAGTCCCCAATTCTGTAAGCATGGCCTGCGTTTGTGCCAACGAAGAGAAGGTGAAGCATGTTCGATAGGGGGCTCAGAGGACCAGCCATCCTAGTGGTTAGCACACCCAACTTCTGGCCCTTGCCCCTATGGTCAGGTTGGTGGTGATACCTGTTCCTGACTGTAAGGAGGGGATCTTTGGCTTTGCACCTGCATCTGGGCCTCAGCCCTTAAGGGGGCGTGGTAGGGGAACCCAGGCCCTCCCTCTCCCATGGGCCCCAGCGGGAAGCAACACCAGAGGGTCCTCCCTGCAGTGAGTCCAAGTCCACTTCCTTGGGCTACTTCCCATCAGTAGGTCCCTTCAGTTTGGGGCGGGCCCCTGTAGTCCTAACAGTCAGTCTCAAAAACAACAAAAATCCAAAGGGACAGGGCCCTGCAGGTTCTCAAAGGGGTTGGTTAGAGAGGGCTCCACCTGTGGGCCTGACCCCCCTGTGGTCCCCTCTCAGGCACAACCTTTTGTCTGGCTGCCTGGAGAACGAGTCCTCTCTCCTATAACCTGCCCAACACCCTCTGCCTGTGCTTCTGAGCCCCTTTTAACCTGCTCCTCCAATCAGAACATGCTCGGCAGGCTGGGGGGGGGGGGTCTGCTTGGGCCCACTATTGTTTTTTAACCCCCTTGGGCCCAGTATGGGATTTGTATCCCCCATCACAGGTGACTTGATTACAGTCTGTAAGTATCTCCATGGGGAACAAATATTTATTAATGGGCTGTTCAGTCTAGCAGAGAAAGGTCTAACATGATCCAATGGCTGGAAGTTGAAGCTAGATAAATTCAGACTGGAAATAAAGTGTAAATTTTTAACAGTGAGACTAATTAACCATTGGAACAATTGCCAAGGGTCATGGTGGATTCTCCATCACTGGCAATTTTAAAATCAAGACTGGATATTTTTCTAAAGGATCCGCTATCCCCTTACCCAAATTACTAAATTTAGTTTCTGACATGAGCCAACTCCCTTTGAAATTCCCCCATGCAATGGTTCCTTCTGGCCTTGGAATCTATGAATCTGTGATTTCCTTGTTCCTAGGTGTATAACTTTGCATTTGGCTGTTTTAAAATTCATTTTGTTTGAATTAACCGAGCTTACCAAGCAATCTGGTTTGCTCTGTATGACTGCCCTGCCCATGTCCTCATGACCACTCCACCAATTTCTGTGTCATCTGTACATTTTATCAGCAATGAGGGCTGGAGAAAGTGAGAGACTTCAATAGCTCAATCTGTTTAGCTTTGATAAAGAAGATTGAGAAGTAGCTTGATTACAGTGTCTGAGTACCATCCTGGGGAGCAAATCCCAGGTATTAAAGAGATCTTTAATTTAGCAGAGAAAGGCATAAACAAGAAGCCATTGCTGGAAGCTGAAACCAGACAAATTCAAATTAGAAATCAGGCACAAATTTGTAACAGAGAAGGTGATTTAACCATTGGAACAAACTACCAAAGGAAATGGTAGATTCTCCATCTCTTGATTTCCTCAGATCAAGACTGGTTACCTTTCAGAAATATATGCGTTAGTCAGCACAAATGATTGGGCTCCATAGAGCGGTAACTGGATGAAATGTAATGGCCTGTGATATGTAGGAGATCAGACTGGATGATCTAATGGTCGATGAGTTGATTAATCAGTCTGGGCTGCCTGTCAGATGTTTCTTTCATTCCCTCAACAGTTGGACTGAAGTATGCCTTTCCCTCAGTCCCAATGATACCAAGGTTCCTGAGGAAACTGAGGCAGGATGCAGGATTTAGGATCATGATAGCCTCCCCATGGGGCAGGCTGTTCTGGTACTCAGATCTGATGAACCTCTCAACGCAGACCCCAATCCACCTTGCCTGCTGTGCCCAACATAGTCTCACAGAACAAGAGTCAGAGTCTGCATGCAGACCTAGCATCATGACATCTGAAAGCTTAGATGCTGGTTGGATGACATCTACCAAAAGAAGTTTTTAGCTGATGTTCAGAACATTCTGCTCCAAAGCAGGAAAGCCTCAGTTAGACTGACAGAAAGCTGAGTGGAGGAGGTTTCTCTCTGGGCACCTCAGCATCACCTGTCTCCCTTGACATCACCCCTTTCAGCATGACTGGACTATCTACTAGCCCTAACAATCTGGACTTTCTCTCAGCACCCTAAGGGTACAGCTAGCAGGAGTCTCTGCACATCAGCCTCCTATCCAGGGACACGCTATATTTTCCCACCCTACAGTGGCAAGGTTCCTTAAAGCCTTTTTCATGTTTTTTCCCCAGTTTCGGAACCCTCTCTTGGGACCTCAATATAGTATTAGCAGGCCTGATTGGTCCCTCTGAAGCACCCGGCATTAGCCACCGTCAAAAGACAAGATTACTGGGCTGGATGGACCTTCGGTCTGACCCAGTATGGCCATTCTTGCGTTCTTATGTCTCCTGTTTGAGCCCTTAGTAAACTGTTCCCTACACCACTTACCAATGAAGGCTACCTTTTAAAATAGCTTTTACATCAGCTCGAAGGGTAGGGGAGAGAACCTTGTGGTGGGTCCATCTTATATCATGTTTCATAAGGAGAGGGTCACCCTCAGGCCTCATCCCATGTTCCTGCCTGCGGTAGTTTGGAGTTCCACATGAACCAATTTATTCATATCCCATTTTTATTCCCCAACACTCACTCAATTCCAGGGGAAGCTAAACATCATGAAATAGTAGTAAGGGCATTATCGTACTAATTGTACTACCTTAACAAGATGAAGTCATTTAGGAGCACACCTAGACTTTGCCACTTTGTGGCCTTTGCAGATAGGATATAAGGCAGTATCCTCTCAGAAATTCTCTAAATAGGTCTCCACATGTATAAGAACATGTTACGAGTTAGCCAAGTTAGAGCAACCTCCTCACGTTGGAGCTCATTCCCCTAGAGTTCAGGCAGCCTCTGTTGCCTGTTTGAAGAATGTCCCTATTTCTGAAATCTATAGGGCAGCTACATGTATCTCAGTTCTACATTCCCAAGATGCTGTTCTTTGGTAGAGACTTCCAAATTGGATGTCCACTCTAGTAGGGCTGTCCTGAAGTCACTGGTTAAGTAGGACTCCTATTACTCACCTCCAAGCAAACAGTACACAAGAACATAAAAACGGCCATACTGGGTCAGATCAAAGGTTCATCTAGCCCAGTATCCAGTCTTCCGACAGTGGCAAATGCCAGGTGCCCCAGAGGGAATGAACAGAACAGGGAATCATCAAGTGATCCATCCCCTGTCTCTCATTCCCAGCTTCTGGTCAACAGAGGCTAGGGACATCATCCCTGCCCATCCTGGCTAATAGCCATTGATGGACCTATCCTCCATGAATGTATCTGGTTCTTTTTTTAACCCTGTTATAGTCTTGGCCTTCACAACATCCTCTGGCAAGGAGTTCCACAGATTGACTGTGTGAAAAAAACACTTCCTTTTGTTTGTTTTAAACCTGCTGCCTATTAATTTCATTTGGTGACCCCTAGTTCTATGAGAAGGAGTAAATAACACTTCCTTATTCACTTTCTCCACAGCAGTCATGATTTTATAGATGTCTATCGTATCCACCCTTAGTTGTCTCTTTTCCAAGATGAAAAGTCCCAGTCTTATTAATTGCTCCTCATATGGAAGCCATTCCATACCACTTATCATTTTTGTTGCCCTTTTCTGAACCTTTTCCAATTCCAATATATCTGTTTTGAGATGGGGCGACCACGTCGGCACGCAGTATGCAAGATGTGGGAGTACCATGGATTTATAACTGTTTGTTAGTCACCAAGAGTAGAATCCATGTGGACAATCATGCGAAGAAGAAAGAATGGTTACTGGCCTTTGATAACTGGTTCTCCAAGATGTGGTGTTCACACAGATTCCACAACCCACCCTCCTTCCTCACTACTATGGAGTCCTACTCCTCTGGGATTCTGTATTGGCGAGGTAACGGCGGGCCCCTTGGGACTGCTCTTCCCTTTATGCTCTCGGGTGGGGGGATGAGGACATCTAGGGTGCAGGTATGGCCCCAGTGGACACTGCCAGCCAAAACCATGTGATCTCTTGTGCCTGGGGCGCGACTAGAGTGGAATCCATGTAGACAGCGCATCTTGAAGAAAGACAGTTACTATAAGGTAAGTCACTGTTCTTTACCTTCCATGCCCCACAGGGGTTTGTGAGTCTTCATTCATTGTCATTGTCATTCATTGTTTGTCAAGTTGTTTGCATTCCTGGGATGAGAGGTGCCCTATCAGAGCAACGTTGGCTGGGTTTTTTTTTCATTTTGTTGCAGTCAGTTACCTGCCTTATAAATTTTTCCCCCCATGTGTTGCAGGTTAGATGGAAGAACCCAGACTGCACAGTAATTCAAGTAAGTATGGGGATCTTTCTTCTTCCCAAAGACCCTGCTCCATTCCTGCTGCTGTAATGGATATGACTGACTCACTCATAACCTGACATCATTGTCCTTTTCCTTATTTATATTCATGTACAAAATGGAGAATATTCCCCATTGATCTGTTACTGCACATCCTCTTTAAAGTGTCAGGTTTTCATTCTAAAGACCCAATCATGATTCCATTTAAATTAGTGGGAAAACTTCTATAAACTTCAGTGAGAGCAGGTTTAGTATCATTATTCTCTTATTGTTTGTGCTGTGGTAGCACTTAGAGGCTTAGGTCAGGCAACAGGACCCATTGCGCTAGTTACCTGTACAAACATGCAGTAAAAATACAGTTCCTAACCCAGAGAGCTCACAATCTATCTTATAAAAGGACACCACAGGTGGTGGGGAAGGATGCGATAACAGTAACAGTAAAAGACTGGACCCTGTGTTAATAATGCCCCTGAAAAACATGAATAAAATCTTTATCTTCCCCCATGTGAAAAGCCTGTAGGAGGCATTGGATCAGGTTTCTGTGCTGATCCAGTCACATGATATTTGGCATACCCACAAAAGGTGATCTTTCCCCATGTTCAGTGAGGAGAGGGGAGAAACACCACCTGGGGAGCACAAATCATAATCCAGAAGTGGTTAGCTCAGGGACTGGGAATGGAATATGCAGTCTTTTCTGTTTCCGGGCCACACCAGGTCAGAGGACTACAGCTCTGAGAAGTGGGTGGGAGATACACAGACTTTGTCTTCTAAGTTAGCAGTTCAAACTCAGCCCATGTACATAGTGGGCCTGAGGCATTAACAGCTGTTAAGTGGGCTGTGTGAAACAAGTTTCTCACTCCACACAGCAAAACCAACATTGTCATCTAAGGTGACTTGCAAAGGGAAAGAAATGGGGTTTGGGGGGTTTGTTTGTTTTTTGTATGGATAAAGGCAGCCTGAAAGTGGCGGAGGATTCTGGGGACGGGGAGGGTTGTTTTTACATTAGAAATTCAGCTCCTGTTTAGCTTCGGAATGTGTCTGGTAACTGGAGAGTTACTGACATGTTATCACAAGACTGAAAGTGGAGTGGAGAGGGGAGGGGATTGTTAACCAGACTGCTTAAAAACACTTTTTGTTTGTTTTTGTTAATGCCTAATTACTTACAATGATTGGCTACCATTTTGGAGAGAAGAACATCTCTGTTAAAGATTCAGCAGCTTCAACCATCCATGTAAAGTTGAACGCTAACAACCCTCTGCAGCCCCCAACAGGTCCTCCAGCAAACCTGGGAAGGACCAGAGCTGACGTTCCTGGCATTGCTAAATTAAAAAACAAATAGAAACATACCAACCAGCCCCCTTCCAGGCCTTCTGTGTCCCTCATGATGACTCAAAAAAGGACCCAAGCCCTTTTTAAAGAAGAATAACTTACAAGTCGCCTTTAAAATCTAGTTGTTCTCCTTCAAGTGGCCTCTGCACATTCCCGTGTGTGCGATCAAGGTACCTGTGCCATGAGCTTCTGGAATCTTCTGGTGAGCGGAGTTGTCGCTGTTCCCCGCCCCTTGCGAAGGCTCCTGAGGGTGTCAGTCCAGTTCCATTCTGTCTGGCCACGCAAGGTGCAGTGGGCTCCGATTCCACCCAGTGTCCTCGACGATTCCCTTGTTGTTTTTTCTTCTTTCTGCCTCTTGGGGGCTGTTTCTGTTTGCAGTTAGATTGGCAGTTAGTCAGGCTTTGCGTAAAACAGAGGAGGAAGGTCCATGCAACGGGCAACCTCAGGCCCTTCAGAGTCTGGAGAGCTGCCTTGCCCCCTTGCTGACAGGGACTGCTCTTAGGGCTGTTGTCCAAGGCTGCTTGCTGTAAGTCCAGCAGTGACTTTGGAGAGATGCTCTCCACACAGGCTGTCTGACTGGCATAGATGGCAGGTCTCTGGATCTGTCCTGGTCAGCTAAGTCCAGTGCCAAGGATCCAGCACATGTTGCTCTGACCTAGTGTGGTACTGAGGACCTGGCACCATTGACTGGAGAATTCACACTCCCCACTCCAGTTTCCCCAGTTCATCAGAGTCCTAGAGCAGGAATTCTGGTACTAGGAGGGAACTGAAGAGTGGTTGGACCCACTTCCAGGGGTGGGGGTGAGCGGCCCCAACAGACACTGCTTGCCAGAAGATTCTGGAAGCTCACAGTATAGAAGCCCTGATCCCATGAGTGCGAATGTGCAGAACTCCAGTTACTGGTAAGTAACTGTCATTTCCTTACAACATATGCACACGTTTGAACTATGCGCTCCATATGGAAAGTGTTTCTCGCTAACTGTTGTGTGTGTTTCCAATGGCACAGGCACAGAGGGTTATGAAGCGAGCTCATGTTCTAACGAAGTCTCCACATCCTTTGGAAGAGGCGTGTTTCAGCCGATACATACACCATTGTGCAACTGTGAAAGATCACAACCAACCACCTGCTGTAAGGGAAGGGAAAGGAGCTTTCTTTTAACTGACTGAAGGGCTTTCCCTCTGGGCATTTTCCTCTCAGACTATTGCATGTACTATTTTCATAGGTGTTTGCCAATGCTAATCGGACAATGCCCCATCAAAAATTCAACAAAGCGTTTTTATGGGAGGTTTCAAAAGAAAACTGTTCTCTTGTAAAGTGCACTGATCTCTTCTGATTTCCTACCTGAGCAGTGTCATCTCATCATGCGCCGGTGGTTTCACTCATGACCGTTGACTTTGGATGTGCATGTAAAATGGATTTTAAACCATTTGAGTTTTCCTGTGTGTAATACAAAGGGAACTCTGAGTACAGATCCTTTAAAAACACACACTTTCTAAAAATACCACTCTGTCTATTAATGTTTGGTTGCCATAGTGTTTGATACTGCATGTCATTCTGAGAGTAAATGACAGGGCATGCCAAGAGTAGAGGAATGCAGAGCAAGGAGGGGGGAATGGCTGTAATTAGGACCATAAAACTTGGATGAGATGCCTCCTGGGGATTCCCAACTCTGTGTATTTTTCTTTTAGACTCTGTTAAAAATTACTTGAATGGTTCTTGGCAAGCAAGGGAATTCAGGGATGACCACTGCTAGGTTCAGATTAGTGCCTGCACATTCATTTGCAAGAAGCAAGTATATTTTTATTTAAATTTAAGGAGAAATAACAAAGTTGTATAGTCGGAGGTTTGAAACTCACCACTACCTGGATCCTTGCTAGACTCTCTAGTTTTGTAGCTACTTAGAAAACATTGTAATCAGTTCCAATCACTAGTGATTTTATTTTATTTTATTTTTTCTTGGTGCTTAGGAATGTTATTTTTAGCAGAAGAGCTGAGTGCCCTAATGCATCTATAAATATTTATCAAGGGCGATGAATGGAACAGAGTGATAAACCCTGAAACCATCCCTCAGCTTTTCTCCCTGTCTCATCTGAGATGCAACGTTGGTTCTTGGAGGAAAGAGCTCGTTAGGTGCCTATAACTCTTTGGGGGAGAGAAAATAAACATACATGGTGGCCACAGGTTTAGTCAAATATAAATATTGTGAATGAGCTGTCAAGAAGGAAAGAAAAGTGAGGATAACCTGGTTCAGTGTGTTAGCTTTAGCCTGCCAAACACCACACACTTGGAAGGGTTCGTGGCTGTCTTTGTACACGTTTTCAGTACGATTAGCTGAATCATTACCCAGACGTTACTCTGGTTGCAGCTGTACAGATGCAAGAAGGGGATGTGTGTTCTGGAATTTTTAAGGATGAAAGTTTTGCTAGTGGCCGGCTCAAGGACCTGCCGGTATAGACAGGAGGCCATCGGTGGTTAGAGACACTGTGACTGTGGCTTCATCATATCTTCACTGTGGACCCTCTTTTTTGTCCTTGATTTTCATGCACTTCTTCCCCTACTTACCACCCTGATGCCCAAAGTCTGGTTAGTAAAATGCTGGCTTCAGATAAGTTTCCATTGCTCCAGCTGTGAATGGACCAGCAACAGCATAGAGTACCTGGGATTGCTCTGTCTCACCCACCAAGCCTGCTTTCAGACAGGCAAAGGTCCTCTTGACATTTAACTTCAATAACCACAGCCAAAGCTGTGTGCAGAAATCTGTGTGGAAGGAAATATGAATTGTGAACTAGAATAGGCCTTGGGGGATGCTGAAGATGAACTGGAAATAGGCAGTATGTGGTACAGTACATCTGGGAGAGGAGTAGATGAAAGTTTTTGCCTTTTGGACGTTCCGAATGAAAACATAAGTTTTTCTCTCCTAAATGCCAATAATCTGGGTTAGAGTTACAGTGGAAGGGGAGACGCTGTACATCAGCCAGTGACTATGATTTACAGCTTTTCTAGAGAGACAAGGTTGGGGAGGGGATATCTTTTATTGGACCGACTTCTGTTGGAGAGAGAGACAAACTTTCAAGCTAGTCCCACACCCACCTTGTCTAATATCCTGGGACCGGCATGACTACAACAACCGTGCATATTGCAGCTTTTCTGTCACATGATTACAGTGTGAAAGCCAGCGACATGGACAAACCAAATAGCCGCTCGTTCTTTTTTGATGTTTTTCCTGTTTATTCATTTGCCAACGCCTCACTTTTGTTGCCACCATTAGTCTAATATTTAGAGGCTAAAACTTCCACTGTATCTGCTCGTTTTTGCAGCTCTTGGAGGTGAAGACACTTCTCCCGAGAAGAAAGGGAATATCGGTCCCTATAGGCTGTCTACTCTGTAACAGATCTACATGACAGTGGTTAAACCAGCAGTGGTTGCCACCACCTTCTCTACACTGGGGCTCTCACCAGTAGAGCTGAACCAGTGGTAACTGTGGTGGGAAATATTCTAGTGCACATAAGGCCCCAGTGTCTGTGAGTTGGGAGCAGAGGTAACTGTAGTATGATGATGGTGATGCTACGTTTCTATAGCACTCTCCATCCCGAAGGACAGTCAGGTGCTTTGATCACAGATTTTAGATAGTGAGAGGTCGTTGTAACCCCCCTGCAGTGGAATAGCGATTTCACAGCACAGAGCAGCACCACCAGGACCAAATGCACTTTGTTAGTTCTGTTGTTTGCTGCCTACTATAAAAGGAGGAGCATTTCCTCTATCGAAGTTCCAGGAAGCTCATTTCACTTGTGCACAGGCGTTACAATACTATGATCATGTCTTAGCCTGTTGTAAGCTCGGCTAAGGAACCTGTGACAGCATTTTCTGTATCAGACTATTAGAGAGTTTGCTTACGCTTCTCTTTACGCTGAACTCTGGGATTGAAGAGGCAAGTTCCACTGTGCAGTGAAACGTATCATTTCTGCAGAAAGCTGTGGCATCTGCTTTTTGTTCATATAACTCTTGACAGGCTCAATGGGCTTTTACAGCCAGAGACAGTGCATAGTCTGTGTATATTAATGTGACCCTGTGTGCCATGGTTCTGGATTACCTCACCCACAGTGCCATCTATTTTAGTCTACAAAGTGTTCAGCAAATGCTTCATATTATTGTAATGAGGGGGTCTGCAGGTTGCTTTTCAGTGATACTGTAAGCCTGTCTTACCTGATGTGATACCGAGAGGATGTCATGGGTTTACCTGACCACCTCTTGCACAGAAGCCATTTGTGTGTCACTCTCATGCTAGAGTCGCTGGGGGGAAAAGGCTTTTTTCCCCAAGCACCTTACAATGTTAATACGCCCTGCAAGTAGGAATGGTGAACTGGGGAATTAAATGTCAGGGAGCAGAGAGCCAATGGGTCATTTACAAACTCCAAGGCCATTTCCCCATAGGTGATCATTAAGGCCTAAACTTCAGTTACTTTTGTCCTCATTAACCTGGTACGCTCCCGAGAGCTTCACTCTGCCGTTTGCCCTGAGTCAAGAACAAGGTTGCCATCCAGCCTTATCCTGTTGCCATGGTGCTGCTAGGGAGCGCTAGCCAGCAATTCCTAAAGAGAACCTGGGGAGGGGGCTGCAGAACAACCTTGTGATGTTGCCGGCTGTCGTGACCTGTCTTTGGGTGGAACTGGAGCTCTGCTTCCCGCTCATTGGTACTCAGTACTGATACCTTGGGTGAGCCCCTCCTAGCCACCTTCCAGCCACTTTGTTCTCCCTTCGCTCTGCCATGGAGCTGAGACTGCTCCAAATGCCCGTCTCCTGATGGCAAGAGCAGCCCAGGCTCAGGGGAAGGAGGAAGGCACAGACCGGTACAGCTAAGCTTTGAATGTGACTAAACAGGTACCATTGCCCAGAGCTTTTAGGAACCCCTGCAGCATGTCATAGTGAGATAACTGATGTCAGGTCTTGTATGCACGGCAAGTTACTATGCGGCAAGCCAGGGTGTGAATCTACAGCCCACCAGCTTGCCACACTCGGGGACATGGCTTCAGTGCAGTGAAAGTCCTGTGCTGGAGCAGTGCCCACAGCAAGCTGGAGTGCTATAGAGTCACCCCCTGGCTTGCCATGCAGTAACTTGCTGTGTGGACAAACCCTTGGTGAGCACAGCGTAATTCCTATGTGACGTGCCGTGACGCCTGGGACAGCGCCTCACTCCCCAATGCAGAGCACTTGCTGTGGTGACATGACTTGACATTGTCTGGAAGAAAATAACTCCCACATGTTAACTTTGGAAACTCTGCTTAGAAACTATTGTTTGCCTTGCAATAACTGCCTTAAAGCCCCTGGGCTCAACCTTCCAGGCCAGGCTTTAATATATTTTACTGGGCTGTCTTCTCTGGCGTTACTTTACCCCACTCTAGGCACACATGCCCGCACACTTTATTAAGTCTGTTTCTAACCTGTCAGCGAAAACAGCGTTTTCCTACCCATCTGTGCTAGTCTTCACTGGACACAAAATTGAACCTTTGGAGCCTGGGTGATGTTCTGCTCCACTACACCAGAACGACTCAGCCCCAGGTCAGTGGAGTAGTAGCCATGTAACAGAGCTAATTCTGGTCCTGTGTGTAATATAGATACCCTATAGAACTCTAGCATGCCACATAGATGTGGGATTGATACTGATGTAATAAACTGCAGTAAAGCGGGTATCACCCACACTCTGCCCTCTGGCCCATCTCTGCTGGGACGCCTTCAGACATTCCACACCCCTGAGCAGCTTCAAAAGGCTGCCATTGGAAAAAAAGGCATCAAAGAGATGTTTCCTTTTTTCCTTCAGGTGTGGAGCTTTTTCTGCCCATGTTCCTGTACGATTTTCCCAGGATGTGTAATAACATCAGAGTCACGAGCCAAAGATACAGGGCCTGATACAAAGCCCATTGAAGGCAACAGGAGGCTTTGCATTGCCTTCAGTAGGCTTTGATCAGGCCCATTGTGCAAAGCCACAGTGCTCGTTAACGTGCAGTATTGCCATGGCTCTGGCTAGACGCTGGCTAGGTACTCGGGAGAAGAGAGGAGTTTGACAGAAATCATTGTCCGTCTCCAGTGAAGCTGAATAACTGGTGACGGTGTCTCAGTGACGTTTGGTGTGGAAATGTTGGCTGTTTGTTTTGCATCGTCCTCCTATTTCACGTCTTGGTGAGCTTTGACCAAAATGCCTGTTTTCACACTGGAAACAGACAAAAATTCATATTTTGCAGCCATCTCTGCTCAATGCGTCCTATTTTTTTTTTAAATCGCCTTGTTTTCACTGGGAAAAGGGCCCGTTTTTTGAGCAAATACTGTACAAAACAGTGAAGGGGTTTTTTTGTGTGGAAGGGGGGCAAATGGACCCATTCTTGTCTTCACAATGCACTGCCATAGGGTGGCAACAGCAGCCCTATGGCAACCTCTGCGTGTGGTGGGGCCTTGGGCTCCCCATCTGCATCCAAGTGCATGTCACTTCTGCAGTCTGGCCTACTTCTGTTCTCTAAGAAATGACCCCTCCGAAGTGCCGTACCTATAAAGTACAGTTTATCCCTGCTCTGCTCTGCTCTGTTTGTAAGGGATGCTTGAACATGCTCTTGGGGCTGAAACTTCATTGCTGGATGTGGGGCTGTGCCCCCAATTCTTGTGTTTTACATGGATACTGGGGTGATTTATTAAAGAAGAGACTGTCTCCAATGAAGGCTCAGCCACTGTATGTAATAGTGCAGACTAAGGACTATGCTATGTGTAAACAGGTGCAGTGAAGGTGACCGGAAGGTATGTCCACCATGCAGAACTGCAGCATAAAGACAACAGCTGCGACTAAGCCTCCCAATTAATTGTCGCTTGGTCTGAGGATTGTAACTAGCTCAGATGTGGCTAGGAGATTACGCCTCCCACAGGTGGCGGAAGCTCGCTTGGGGTGGGGGTGGAGGGATTGCAGGGGGGAGCAGGATGGGCACTCTGCCTGGGGAGTAAGACTCGGTGCAGGGGGGCAGAGGAGGGCGGCCAGCTACAGACTGGGAAGGGAGGTCCCAGAGGTTCGTGTCTCTCGCCAGCCACCGGGGGTAGCTGCTCCTGGCCCTGGCTCAATCACCACAGTTCCTGTCTACTGTCCAGCCTGATCCCAGGGGTGCGGCAGACACTCCAGGTCCTCCGGGTCCCGCTCTTGCCTTCATCTGCCCCCGCCACGTGCGTGCAGTTTACAGAGAAGATTGGTTCCCAGAATGATGTGTGTGGGCAGAAATATAGATCAGCCTCCACCGTCCCCTGGTTCGGCTGTCCCAGATGTCTCGTCCTTCCTGGCGATGGGAGAGAACACACAGGTTTGGGTGCGCTTTGAGCACCACCTTGTCCGCTCAGCTCACCTCAGCCAGCCATAAAATGTTCCAAGTAACCTGCGGAGGCTCGTACATTGTGCTGTTTAACTAGGGAAGGAAAATTCCTTTGGTTTTATGAAGTGCATCGTACTACAGGTTTAAAAAGAAAACCATTCTCGAGCTGGGCAAAACTGTTGCCGTTCCAAGGGAAGGAATTAGTGCTTCCCCCTCCTGCATGGCCTGCTGTGGAGGGAGCCCCGCCGTGGGGTGTGGAAGCAGTACAGCAACAGGCGCTGTTAGTTACCATGGAAATGTCTATAGAACGGCTGCTGGCCGGGGCCTACCAAAGCAGCGATTCCGTGAGGCAAGCCAGAGCTGACACGGCTCCTTGCACAGCATTGCACAAGGGAAGGGAACCGCTATTTAAAACGTACCGGGTCTTGGTCCTAGCTAAACTTTCAGCTCTGTGATGGACTCGTGGGTTCATTAGCCAATATCACCTGGTGTTTGCTGGGGAGGTGAATGTTTGAGGTGGGAATGGGATTCCCCGTTAGTCCTGGGTAGCGGAAGCTGGAGTTTCATGACACAGCCAGCGTAGGCTGTACTGGCAGTTAGCACTGGGAGCAGCGTCCTCTCAGATGTGGGTCTCCCTCATGCTATTTTCCACATAAAATTACTATGTCAATGATGTATAAAAGGAAGAAAATTGGCTTCAGCAACTCATACAGACTTCAGCATATGTGTGCTCAGTGGATGTCCAATTCCTTTAGAGACCCTGCTAACTTGCAGCCCCTAGATGTAAACCAAAGCCAGGCTCATTCACATCCGGTCTGGTGGCCACGAGCAGAGCTGGCAGGGATCACACCTTTTTCTTCCATGTACTGCATAGAAATCTGCCTTGGGATTCGAGACCGCTGTGGAATGACTGTACTATTTCAAATTTACAAGTGTGTGTGTGTGTGTGTGTGTGTGTAATAAATCCATACGAGTGGGTGGGTGTGAGTGCGTGTCTGTGTGGGTGTTCCATAAATAAATGTTAAAAACGAGATTCTGTACATGTTGGGAACGTGTCTAATATAAATCTGTAAACTGGAAGCCATGTTCTGTCATCTGCCAAATATTTAATAAATTAGTCCCATCCCTATGGGGGTCTCTTGTCTGTGTGATGACCATAGAAGAATATATTTGAGATGTACATGAAACAGCAAAGCTGTTTTAACATGAACTTACTGCTCCAGAATAAAAGCAGCTGCTCATAGTTCATTGTGTATTTCTATTAAATACCAGAGCCAGGAGAATATGCACATCTGTCATGAATACAGGTCAAACGGAACAAACCAGACCTGCTCATGATACGGGCGCCTGCAACTCCATACTCATCTGGGTGCTCAGTAACGGTCAGTGCCTAAAGCCCCTTTCAAGATACTTCCTTTCCTGGATGATCTCAGGGCTCAGTGTTATTCAATAGTTAGGACCTTACCAAATTCACAGCCATGAAAAACACATCATGGACTGTGAAATCTGGTCTCCTCCCATGAAATCTGGTCCTTTGTGTGCTTTTACACTATTCTATAGAGATTTCACAAGGAGACCAGCATTTCTCAAACTGGGAGTCCTGACCCAAAAGGGGGTTACAAGGTTATTTTAGGGGGGGCCACGGAATTGCCACCCTTACTTCTGCGCTGCCTTCAGAGCTCAGCGGCTGGAGAGCAGTGGCTGTTGGCCGAGTGCCCACCTCTGAAGGTCCCACCCAGTACCGCAGGAGTTCAGATTCTCCGGGGACTGACTTGTTTCAGAGGAACCGCAGTCTCCCTGATTGGTGGGTATTGAAAAATTATCAGTGCCAAGACAGGCCTCCAAGGTGGGACCTTACCGCAGTACCACTTGACTCTCCAACACCTTCAGAGACTGCAGGGGCTCCTCCCCCTTGATAAGTTGGAATTCTCCTATTTGAATGTCTCGGTCCAAGATTCCCCTCCTCAGACAAGAGAATTTCTTCCTGACACTTTGAGAAGAGAGGAAGTTACATCAAAGACAGGCCTATGTCCCCCTGACCTGGTTCGAGCATCAGTGGATGCCACCCTCAGTGCCATTTGGACCCCCCTCCAGTGGCCATAGTGGGATCCTTGGGCTGTGTGATGGGGTGTCCACTTCACACAGGACTAGAAGGCGTTAAGGTGGCCAGGTAGGCCAATTAGCTGCACCTGGAGGAGGAGTCAGGGAGCAGGGAGTGGATTAAATGAGGCTTAACTGGGCATGACTAGGCGGGACCCAGAAAGCCTAGGAGCTGAGAGCAGAAGGGGGCTGCTGGGAAAGCCTGCAGGAAGAGGAGGGAGTTGGTTTGGAGCTGGTACTTCCAGAGAAGGCAGGGAACGAGGAAGAGAAGGAAGCAGTCCAGGGACGGAGCAGTGAGGGCTGAGAGGGTAGAGCTCAGAACTGCTGAGCTGAGGGTCTCTGGACTGGAACCCGGAGTAGTGGGAGGGCCCGGGTTCCCCTATTGGCCACTGGGGAAGTGGCACGAGCAGGGCAGCACAAAAGAAGGACTGCCTGGGACTCGGCGTAGAAAGACTTTGGGTGACCCCGAATGATGACCCACCGGAGGGCTGAGTCATGAAGAGGACGCTGCGGTTCTTGGAGTGAGTTGGGTCCGCAGGTTGAAAGGACGATGGGAGAGGCACCACCTGAAGAGGGCACACCAACTGGCAGGGCTAATCCCCAGGACGGCCAGCAGGAGGCACCATTGTGTTGAGTAGATCCTGTGACAGGCTGCATACCAATAGCAATTTCCCCATGCCCCTAGTCTTTGTCATGGGGACTACAGGGGGAGACGCTCCCCTACTCCAAATATCCCTCCTCTTCAATTTAGGATTGTGAACTATCGAGCTCTCGTGCTGACATACAATCACACAAATTATGCCAAATTCACCACTTTTATTGAGCATCTGCCAGCTGATCAGCATGAGACGTTTCAGGTTATTATTAACAAGGGTCAATTGTTAGCAAAAACATTCTTATAGTCCTCGTTAGATGCTGCCAACACTGCCATCGCTACAGCAGTGGTCATGTGGAGGGTGTCCTGGCTCCAGTTATCTGGATTGCCAAGGGAAGTCCAAAACACAATTGAGGGCTTTCCCTTTGATGGCCTCAAACTTTTCGCGGAACCCATTGATGAATCCTTGCATACCTTTAAGGATTCCAGAACCGCGTTGAGACCCCTTGGGATTTACATGCCTACAAACCAATAAAAGTTAGTAGATCCCAATCGGCACAAAAATCCCGCTTCTCACCACTTCATTCTTAGGATTCCAGAGACCTTTTGAACCACCCAGGAAGAAATCAAGCTTCTAGAGGAAGAGACCACCTGCTTCCTCTGGGTCCGCTACTGAGCCCTGATCATCATCAAACTACCAGTTCTGATGGGCTGGTCGAGGGCCCGGAACAACCCCACAAAACTGAGCTTTCATCTACACTATTCTACCCATCATCCACCTGTTGGAGACCAGCTCTCCCACTTCCTATCCGCATGAGAGAGAATCACATCAGACAAACGGGTGCTTGGAGAGGCACCAACTTTCCAATGCGCCAGGGGGTGCTTGACCCCTGCTCTGCGCCAGGCCCCACCCCCACTCCACCCCTTTCCCCAAGGCCCTCCCCCCACTCCATTCTCAACCCACCTCTTCCTGCCCTGTTCCATCCCCTCCCCCGAGCACGCCCCACCCTTGCTCCTGACCCTCCCCCACCCAGCACCTCCTGCACACCACAGAACAACTGATTGCAGTGGATGGGAGGTGCTGGGAGGGAGGGGGAGGTGCTGATTGGTGGGACCACTGGTGGGCAGGAGGCATTTGGGGGAGGAGGGGGGGCTACTGGTGCTCAGCACCCACTATTTTTTTCCTATGGGTGCTCCAACCCACAGAGTCGGCGCCTATGGATGCTGGAGGTTATAAGATTGGGGTATGCTATCCATTTTATCTTCCTCCCCTATGCCCACTCCCTTTCCCCATTCCTCTTCAGGGACCCCTCTCACAAATATTCTTAAAGCAAGAAGTCTACTCCCTTCTGTGAACAGGAACTGTAGAACCGGTTCCAGTTTAGCACAGAGGGAGGAGTGTTTTACTTCAGCTACTTTCTGGTCCCAAACAAGAATGGACATTGGCCAAACCGGACAGTCTCTATGCAAAAGAATAAATGGACACAAATCAGACATCAAGAATTATAACATTCAAAAACCCATCAGAGAACACTTCAACCGCCCTGGTCACTCAATTACAGACCTAAAAGTCGCAATTCTTCAATGAAAAAACAGACTCCAACGAGAAACTACAGAATTGGAATTAATTTGCAAACTGGACACCATTAAATTAGGCTTGAATAAAGACTGGGAGTGGATGGGTCATTACACAAAGTAGAACTATTCCCCCTACTGTTACTCACACCTTCTTGTCAATTGTTGGAAATGGGCCATCCTGATTATCACTACAAAAGTTGTTTTTTCTCCTGCTGACAATAGCCCATCGTAACTGAGTACTCTTGTTATAGTTGGTATGGCAACACCCATTTTTTCATGTTCTCTGTGTGTGTGTATATAT